GTCGGGGTCCTGGCCGAGCTTGAACTTGCTGTGACTCAGCGGCCAGGACAGACCACCTCTGCCCACTCTGAGGGATGCTTCTCAGCTCTGCACTTCAGCTTACTCTTGTGTCTCAACCCCCTTCCGCCCACAGGGACCCAGAGCGTGGCAGATGCGAGCCCATCTCACAGAGGAGGAGACGGAGGCGTGAGGCTGGGCTCCACCTCCCGTCCCGCCCTCACCTCCGTCTGCACCATGGCCGGCCTCTGGGTCCGCAGCATCTTCACGGTCTGGAATATGTCCACCACGCCTTCGTACCGCATCCGCTCCAGCACGATGCTGAGCGTGATGAAGACGCCCGTCCTGCCCACGCCGGCACTGTCAGGGTGAGTGCGGCAGTTCAGGGCCGGGTTCTCAGGGGAACCCGACTTGACCACCCGATTCCTCAAGGATGAAGAGTCCAACCTGGACTGCCCTGAGGTTCGAGACTGTCCTTGTGAGGCCTCAGTTTCCCCAGCCGACCAATAGGCTGGGGCTTGGTGGAGAAGCTCACCTGCAGTGGACAGAGATGGGGCCATCCTGGCCGAACTGTTCCTTGGTCTTGTGCACCTGGCCGATGAAGTCGATGAAGCCCTCCCCCGACTTTGGCACGCCCTGTTCCGGCCAGTCCGTGAACTGGAACTGCCGGACGGTCCGGGACTGGCCATCCTGGGATGGAGAGAGAACCTGGTCTTGCTACAGAGGTCAGCGGCAGCCACAGTAGTTTCCCCGCCCCAGCCAAGCTCCAGGCCCTTCTCCATCCTTCCCCAGCCTCAGCCCCATTTTCCGCCATCCACCCTGATAGCCCATTGTCTGGCACCATCTTCCATTGGGATGTTCCAGTCTTTTCTTTCACCACCCAAGGATGCCAAGACCATCCTCCTCACCATCCTCTAACTTCACTGAACAGTGACACCATTTCACATGGCCACTGTCCACACCCCCACCACCCATCTGTTCCCCTCTCCACATCTCCAGTCCCATCCACCACGACTGAAGTAACATCCAACACCACTGTTGTCCACCATCTTCCATCCTCCACCACTGACTACTCACCATCTTTTATTGCCCACCCAATGACGCAGTCTTCCACCAGCCAACACTGGAATCTCATCAGCTTCTACCAACTGCTACCCAACATTGTTATCTCCTATCCTTTGCCATCCACTTCTGGTAACACACAATCTTTGACCATCCAATGATGCCACCTTCCACTGACTTCCTCCATCCCCACCACTCAACCATCCTTCTCTCCAACCTCGTCTTCTCACTACCCAGCAGTGCCATCCAGCATCATCGCTCTCTGCCATCTTCCATTCATCATGACCCAATGGTATTATTTTCCACCATTCATCTCTAGTAATTCATCACCCTTCTCCATCTAAGGACCATCTTCTACTGACATTCTTCATCCTCCTTCATTCATCACTTACCACTTTCCAGTCACATTCTCTACATCAAAATGGTGACTTCCAGTGCTACACTCTTACCCTGATGGTCTCCATGTCCACCATCTAACACTTCCTTTCTCCAATCCCACCTTCCTCTATCTTGTACCATCAACAGCACTGTCTACTACCATGGATCATTGACTAGTCATCACTCTTTACTACGTAAAGTCATTTCCCATTGATTTTCCCCACCTGCCACTGGCCAAACACCTGCTCTCTCTAATCGCATCTTCCTCCATCCATTGCTGATAACACATCACATTTTACCAACCCATAGTACCTTGTTCTACTGGTATTCTCCATCCTCTGTTATCCATGCACTCCCATATCCAATCCCACCTTCCTCCCATCCAACGCCATCCTTGTTTAACAGCCTCCACCACCCAACACCATCTTCCCCTGATTCTCTAATCCCACATGCCACCAGTCCAATGGCGCCATCCTGCACTATCCAAGCTGGATGACCAGCGATGCTTTACCACCCACGGGCGACATCCTGACTGTCATTCCCCATCACCTCACCCGCGAGTCCTCCAATCCTCTCCTCCATCGCTGACTCTGACCCCCCGTCACCCAGTGAGGCCACCTTTAGTCTTCGCCTGTTCCCATCCAGTACCTGTCCTCCTCCCATCAGCCAACACCACCGCCCCCGACTGAGCCTTCACCAGCCAATGCCGCCCACTCTTCACTCGCATCTTGCCCAACACAGCGGTGCCAATTCCTACTAGCCAATCTTCACCGTTCACCCCTCTCTTCCAATCTACAGCTCCAGTTTCCACCAGCTCTCCTCCACCAGGCTTTCAGCCCTCTGGCTGTATCCCCCAAGGGTTGTCGCTTCCAGGGGAATGCCCACATTCATTCCCTTTTATGTGATCGCCTCGGGCCACGTTCCCTGGTGAGCGGTGTTACCGCACTCCAGCGGGGTTGCTGTGGGGTCGTGGACGTGGCCCTCGCTTCTGCCCACCTGATGCTGACTCGTGATTGGCCAGCTCACTCGTCTTCCCCCAAACCCTCATTCCTCCCCCTGGGTCTTTGCTTCCACCCTCAGTTGGCGAAGCCCTCTCCAGACCACTAGGGGGACGCTGAATAGCCTGTAGGGTCCAGCCTGGGTTTTGGTCCAAACTCACCCGGGCGTCTGTGACCTTAAACTCGCGCAGGATGTACTGAGGCATATTGTATTCCGCCATCGGATCCACCACGAAGTACTGGTAGCGGGCGGAGCGCTCGGCTGGCCAGTACTGGTGACACTTCTCCTGTCGCGGGGATGGCAGCTGTGGTCAGCCCCATCCCGGGCCGGGCCCCCGCCCCACCCCGCCCCACCCCGCCCCGCAGCCCCCTGCTCACCCGGCCCATCTCCCGCAGCTTGGTCAGCATCACCACGATGGTCGAGTTGTTCTCCCACAGCATGCGCCAGAAGTCCTCCGTGCTTTCGGCCAGTGGCCCCTGCGTGGCGATGTAGGCCTTCTGCTGCCTGCAAGGCGGGGTGTGCGAGTCCAGGGTCACCCCCTCCCTGTCCTGTTCAGCTCTCTAAATGACCTCGTTTCGCACGTGGAGAAACCCTCAGCCTCAGGATACATTTCAACTCCTTGAAGGAGCTGCGGGTCCATCTGCTGACCTCTCCCGCCTTCCTCCTCCACCTCCCTCGAGAGCTATTAACTAATTGCCATAGTTCGCATGGGCAGTATCCTAGTCCTGGAACACCCTCCCTTGGCCAGGGTTTCTCCCCCTCAGCACCACGGACATTCTGGGCTGGGGAATGCCGCGTGATGGGGCACCACTCCCTGCATGGTGCTGAGCAGCTCCCCTGGCCTCGACCCACTAGAGCCCAGGTCCTTCCCACCTCTCTCCCATTTGGACAATCAAAAATGTCCTTAGACTCTGCTAAACGTCCCCTGGGCGGCGGAGTTCCCCAGGCTGAGAACCTCTGAGGGAGAAGAGCCGGTGGAGCCGTGCTGCGGACAGCAGCCATCGGTTAAACGCACGTCGGAGACTCCTTCCACCTCAGGGCGGCACGGGGCCGGCAGTGTCTGTCTAGCTCTCTCCCACGCAAGACTAGAGGCCCCCCGAGGGCAGGGCTGGGGCCTTCTGCGGCCCCAGCATGGCCCAGCAATGGCCGGGGGGAGGGTACCTGTAACCGTCGATGAAGCTGGCGTTGATGTAGTCGGAGCCCTCCACGCCCCGGATGGGCTGCAGGCAGACCCGTGTGCTCTCGTAGGGCATGATGTTTACCAGGCGGTTCTTGAACTTGTTACAAGGCAGGTTGGCACTGATGAAGCGGGACGTGTGGGCTTTGGAGTTGGCCAGCCGCTGCAGGGTTGAGGGGGCAGGGGGCTGCCATCAGGACAGCCTCCAGCGGATGGGGGGTAGGCTGCTGTGTCCAGGGCTGGAGAGGGCTGTGCGAGTTCCTCCAGAGCACTAATGATGGGGTGGCGCGCAGGGGGACGCCAGACCCCGTCCTCTGGTCCCCCGCCCCGCCCACAGCGGTCTCCCCCCACCGCTGTCCCACCTTGAACTCAAGCTCCATGCCGGTGACATGCTCGCCGGGCTCCACCTGGGCCAGCTTCTGGATGTAGGCGTAGAGGCTGCGGGCAGGGACCTCCGTGTTGCCGCAGCCCACGGCCTCCAGCAGGGCCTCGTGGATGAAGCTGTACTGGTCCTCGGTCTGCACCATGTAGTTGCGCTGG